AACACAAACTGCACATGCGATTGCCTGCGACGCTGCGAGGCTCGTTGCTGCGAGGAGCGGACAGCTTTCCGGGTCGGCGATACAGCGAGAACAAGCGAAACTCATCCTGAGCACACAAACACTCACAGCCGAAGTAAAAACAATAAGTGTGGCTTGATATTGAGAAAGAAAAAGGTTTATAACGCTTTGAGAATGGGTCTGAGGAGAGCATTTCTCCACCATCCCAACTCGTCTACTACCAACCAGGGAGCTCTATGCAAGTCAATGGGACTCCCTGTTAGTTAGCCAAGGGATCCTGGTGAGTGAGGAGCTCCACGGATTGGTCCATTTGGGCCAATCCGGTCATTTGTTGTTGATTTGGGTGTTCACACGTCACAGAACCCAGGAAGCAAACAATGGAAAAAGAGAAATGTCCAACGAGGTGTTCTGGGGCAGCATAGACAGGTCTTCTCTGTGTTAGAGTTTTACTCCCTACAGGGTGTACTTTGAGGGTTTGTGACCCTGCAGACCGTTTACATGCAGAAAAACTTTCATAACACACAAGGGGACGGGTAATAACCAGAAAAGCGTGACATGGGACCTTTAAGTAAAGAGTCAACCAAACTTTCCTGAGATGTATTTTTGTTTGAGTCAAGCTTATTGCTACTTGTGGATATATACATTTTTGGATTAGACAGAACTACACATACATATTGACATGTACGCATACATTGAACTTAATATAATAGCTTTCAACTCACCTAATTATGTTAGTTATGTGAGATTTGTTGACATAATACATTTAATTAAAGTCAACATTCCAGTTGTTTCAGTGTATGATTGTCTTACTGAAGGCTGCACGGTATCTCAAAAACGAGCGAGGTTGAAAATGTATGTTTCTGTAGAAATACTGCAAAGAGTGGAGGAAAAATACAGAAATGCGTGCAGTGCCTCCATCAGCCATTTTGGAGACAGCTTTATCTTAAAATAGAAGTAACAACGCAGGACATTCTGTCTCCCTGTCAGCCATTTTGTTGAGATAACTCAAGGCTTCTCTAACAGGCAGCGAATAGAGCGGGCGACCTTTCTTTTAAAGCCGTTTTCTAACTGTCATGCGCTATCTGCACACTGCTCTATCACTTCCTTTCACTGCCACCGTTTCTTTCTTCTCTTACTATACTTACTAACACTTTCCTTCTGTGTCAGAATGGATTCAAACTGCTTGTCTCTCTCCGTTTTCTCCATTTCTCTCCGTCTCTCTGCAGCTCTCCCTCACTTTCTATGCAGTCATGGCCAAGTATCACCATGGCAACTCAGACTACCATGCTTTGTGAAAGGGAGTCCGCCTGTTTATCTGCCGTTATGTGAAATCGTGCATTAGGGAACGAGTGGGTAGGTGTGCAAGGGACTTTTTAAAAGGAGCATGACCTCTTGCCATTTAGCAAAACCTCTCCATGTGTTCGTCATGAGCTAAAATGTGCAGCAGCTGTTCATGAATGCCTTTTATGAATTTGTATTCTGTGCTATGACATTCAAGCACAGTGTATGGCAGCATTTGGGCAGCAAAGGACACTCCAGTGACATGTTGGCTCCCCAGAGAGTAACTTCCACTGACCGGAGAACAACGCTATTTGACCAGAGGACGTATGGACCAGTCATGGCCAAGTAAAACATTTCTGGTCTAAACAAAAGGATCCTGAAATCGTGCATTAGTGACTGACTAGTGAGTAGGCGTGCAAGGGACTTTTTAAAAGGGGCACGACCTCTTGCCATTTAGCAAAACCTCTCCATTTGTTTGTCATCAGCTAAAATGTGTAGCAGCTGTTCATGAATGCTTTATTTTATAAAAAGGGGAATTTGTATGATGTGCTGTGAAATGCAAATACATTATGTGGGCAGCTGAGGACTCTTCTAGCTATCAGAAGACATGTTGGTTGACCAGAGAACAACACTATTTGACCAAAAGGAAGTCCTAGTAAAACATACCTGGTCCAACCAAAGGATCCTGAACCTGATCAGAAGATATTTTTGTTGACCAGAAAGTGCTTGGACTGCAGTCGAGTTAAACCAAAGACAGCAGGCCAGTCTGGAGGACACCTGACCTGTGAGCACTCAGACTAAACAACAGACATTTTGGACTTATCATGTGGACACTTGGGCGACCAGAGGACACTTGGGAAGCTTGAGAAGAGCTCTTTCGTTGAGGAGATGCACACTTAACAAGCTCAAGTGGCCCTCAGGAGTGGCATTTAGGTTAGACAAAGGAGCGTGATTCTACATTTCTAAACACAGAAAAGATGGACTGACTTTAGATGGCTGTCAACATTGGGAAGCTAGTTCAGCTAACGGTGCTAAAAGTGCAAAAAAAAAAATGGCTAACAGTGTTTGAAGAAAACAGAAGGTGGTTTGTTTATGTATTAATGTCCTGAATGTCTAGTGTAATCAGAGGAAACTTAATAAGATTGAGGCTACAAGGGAAACGTGTGCAAACCACTGAATTCACTAAATGCCTATAAACACGTCTAGCATTCTGACTCTATAGTATGTGGGAGTTTCCTTCTTTTTTTGCCCAGCCGTAGCTTCCTGCTCGTCCTGTTTCTATTAGTATGCATGTAGGTCATGTGGAGCTTTATCCTCAGCCAGGACCGCCGGGACCTGAGCGCTTGAAGAGAGGCTTTCTAGTCCAGGTGGGTCAAAAAAAAACGGACTCACAACACACCAAAAATGAAGACACCTTTCACACCAAATACATTTCTTGCTAATCGCTCACACTGATCATTTTGCATTATCATTGTAGCCAAGGGAAATGCAAAATGATTTTTCCTGATAATATTTAGATACCAAGATTTAAACTTCAACCACACAACACACACCAAAAAAAGAAGGGTAAACACACCTTCCACACCAAATACATTTCTTGCTAATGGCTCACATTCGCATTTCCCTTGGCTTTTTCCTGATGATATTTAAATGCCAAGATTTAAACGGGGACTTTTGCATGGCATTGAAAAGCCGAGAGTCATGATTTAGCTCAGGCTTGACACGATGTCGGATAGGGAAACGACAGAGAGAAGAATCTGGATGTGCATCGTGTCCTTAAAAAGCACGAGCACCCGTTCCTTCGAACTCGTGCCACTGCGCTGCAGACCACTACATAACGTGACCTTGTTTTTATCTTCGCTCAGCAGATTGGAAACAAAGGGATGGGGGTTTGGGGATTAAAGAAGGTTGGAAAAAAGAGAGAAAGAAATGCACTATATATATTTTTTTGTTAAAAGACAATCACAGAATTGCCTTTGAAATATCCACTCCTGAAATGAAATCCAAAGCTCTGTCCACTGCATTTTTCAGTTAGTGGCTTTCATTGAAATGACTCAGCACATGGAGGATATACAGCAAAGGGAAGAAAGACGGGATAAAGCCTTTAAAATACTCTTGATTCTTAAGCTGTAATTCCATCCAAACCAGTCTTGGTTTGTCTGCATTGGAAGAGCCGGCAAACACAGTAAGCTTCAGCGGACTATTCCTCAAAACTAGATTTCAATTTTTATGATGAAGCTGTTTCAATCATTTCAAGTTAAATATATATATCTCCTTTAACCAGGTAAAATATCTTTTTTAACAGCGACCTGGCCACGAGGGCAGCATGAACAAAGTTTCAACATTAACCAGTCCATAGAGGTGGGAAGTAGTGGAGTACAAATACTTCGTTACTGTACTTAAGTACATGTTTCTGGTATCAGTACTTTACTCCACTATTTATTTTTCTGACCACTTTTTACTTATAGAAAACAGCTGCTAGTTATGGGTACTTTTTACTGAAGTACATTTCAAAGCCTCTTTACTTTGACTTGAGTAAAGAAGTTTAGTCAGTACTTCTACTTTCACCAGAGTATTTTTAAACATGAGTATCTGTACTTCTACTGGAGTAAAGGATGTGTGTACTTTTGCCATCTCTGGTCAATATGCAAATAAAAGAAACATTAAAAACTAGCACAATTAAACATATTGTAATCTATCCTTCAGTACGTTCCCTCACCCTCTCTGAGCCTCAGCCTCCCTCTCAGAAGAGTCCACTTCCTGGAGGTGTTGGTAGGCGGGGCCTGAATACTTGGATCCTCCAATCGGATTCAGCCTTCCCCTCGGGATGGGCGGGGTCCTGCGTGGAGCCGACCAATGGGAGGCCCGGGTTCTCTGATCCGGGCTGTGAGACAGGGAACCACTTCTAGGAATACAGAGAAGAAGCCAAAACATATTAATTATGGTTTATCAAACTATTACACACTGCACATATTTTCTATTTTATTGCAATCTATTTCAAATTACTGCTTTATTTTTATTTTGCTATCTTTTTTCTTATTTTTTTGTAATGTTATTATAGTGTTCTTAAAATAGTTCGCTATCTGTGTTTTTCAAATTTGTTGGTGTACTTTATGTATGCACCACGACACCAAGTCAAATTCCTTGTTTGTGTCAACTACTTGGTAATAAACCTGTTTCTGATTCTGATAGAATATCTTGTTAGGTGTTTAACTTTTGGAATATGTGGCTGTCCATATGGAGATTTGTGTAATAATTGATTGGATTGAGTGGGTTCATTAGTAGCTCAGGTCACATGTAGCTTCAGGCAGATTGCATAGATTGATTGTTGCTAATCTTTCTGTTTGTTAATTGGTTTTGCATCACAGAGTTGCCACTGTTGGTGGTTCTGTTTGGATAAAACTGCAATTTGGATTAGTTCTATTTACCTTTTTTCATTGGGGTCTGACAGTCCTCCATTTTTAGATTGATCTTTTTTTATAATTAATCTGTGCAAATCGGGTTGAGGTAAGCTTTTCTGTTGCTCTGTTTTGGATTAAAGACGTTTTGTAATCAGTGAAAAATAATCAAATTAGTTTGTATCATAAAACCACAGTTACAAATCTGGATTGAACTACATTTATGAAACTCATCTGCAAAGCTACCAAGTGTTTTGTACAATATTGGCACCTTTCTGGTTTTCTATGCAAAAGTACTCAGTTCTTGGACTTGAGTAAAAGTAGAAGTACTCAGATCTTGTGCTTGAGTAAAAGTAGAAGTACTCAGATCTTGTTCTTCAGTAAAAGTAGAAGTACTCAGATCTTGTACTTGACTAAAAGTAGAAGTACTCAGATCTTGTACTTGAGTAAAAGTAGAAGTACTCAGATCTTGTACTTGAGTAAAAGTAGAAGTACTCAGATCTTGTACTTGAGTAAAAGTAGAAGTACCAGATCTTGTACTTGAGTAAAAGTAGAAGTACTCAGATCTTGTACTTGAGTAAAAGTAGAAGTACTCAGATCTTGTACTTGAGTAAAAGTAGAAGTACTCAGATCTTGTACTTGAGTAAAAGTAGAAGTACTCAGATCTTGTACTTGAGTAAAAGTAGAAGTACTCAGATCTTGTACTTGAGTAAAAGTAGAAGTACTCAGATCTTGTACTTGAGTAAAAGTAGAAGTACTCAGATCTTGTACTTGAGTAAAAGTAGAAGTACTCAGATCTTGTTCTTGAGTAAAGTAGAAGTACTCAGATCTTGTTCTGTACTCAGATCTTGTTCTTGAGTAAAAGTAGAAGTACTCAGGTCTTGTACTTGAGTAAAAGCAGAAGTACTCAGATCTTGTACTTGAGTAAAAGTAGAAGTACTCAGATCTTGTACTTGAGTAAAAGTAGAAGTACTCAGATCTTGTACTTGAGTAAAAGTAGAAGTACTCAGATCTTGTACTTGAGTAAAAGTAGAAGTACTCAGATCTTGTACTTGAGTAAAAGTAGAAGTACCAGATCTTGTACTTGAGTAAAAGTAGAAGTACTCAGATCTTGTACTTGTAGTAAAAGTAGAAGTACTCAGATCTTGTACTTGAGTAAAAGTAGAAGTATTCATATCTTGTACTTGAGTAAAAGTAGAAGTACTCAGATCTTGTACTTGAGTAAAAGTAGAAGTACTCAGATCTTGTTCTTGAGTAAAAGTAGAAGTACTCAGATCTTGTACTTGAGTAAAAGTAGAAGTACTCAGATCTTGTACTTGAGTAAAAGTAGAAGTACTCAGATCTTGTACTCGAGTAAAAGTAGAAGTACTCAGGTCTTGTACTTGAGTAACAGTAGAAGTACCAGAGTGTAGGAATACTCTGTTACAGTAAAAGTCCTGTATTCAAAATGTTCCTCAAGTGAAAGTAGAAAAGTATTCTCATCAAAATATAGTGAAAGTAGTGACATTAAAAGTAGTCATTGTGCAGATTGGTCCATTTCAGAATAATATATGATATGTTTTATAATGATTGATCATGAAAGTGTTCTCAAAGCTGGTAAAGGTGCAGCTAGTTTGAATGACTTTGTATACTGCAGGGTAGCTGGTGGATTTACTCCAGGTGGAACTAAAGTCTGATTTAACACTTGATTATATTTCACATCATTCATCCAGATCTGTGAAGTAACTAAAGGTATTAAATACATGTAGTGGAGTAAAAGTACACCATGTACCTCTGAACTGTAGTGGAGTAGAAATACAGAGTAGCATCAAATTGAAATAGTCAATACAAGTACCTCAAAATGTTACAGTACTTGAGTAAATGTACTTAGTTACTTCCCACCTCTGAAATCAAGAATGATAATAGGACATAAGTTGCTCCTAGGATCATAGTTTCTGAATTTTCCCAAAGGTTACTGGAATATATCCTGCAGTAGAAAAAGCTCTACAAAACAACATCTGGTTAGTTACACATCTTTCAAGGAAAAGTGTGATTTGTCTCTCTTAGAAAAGTCTGTTGCCTTACAATACTCTGAAAGCATGGAGTTACAGTATATGCATGTCCTCTTTGCTTCCATCAAAAGAGATTTTGCAGCCAGAAAATACACAAGTACGTTTTGACTTGCTTTACCAAAGTAGCAAATGTCCTCTCCGGGCACTCATTCATATTTAAAGCCGCTGCTTTAGAGAAGAGGTTTGCCTTTCAAATGTTGATTCTTAGCCACAACAACTGAGCCGTGCTTACTGTAATAGCGTTGGCAGAGTTTTCTATAAACACATTCAAACGAGATATTTCCGAGACACAGAATTTGCCTTGGTAAGTTTATTTTTGCCTTTTCTGTTGAACTGTGGTGTCCCAGAACAGTGTCCAAGTCTCTGCCCATAAGCTGATGTGATTGCAAACAAATAAACCCACAAGAAAAACCATTTGTGGTTAGAGCACTGCCAGCCAAGTCATCCTGTGATCGACTCACTCTTCACTGAGAGAGAGAAATGGAAAGAGAAGGAGGGGAAAACGTCTGGCACGACTTTAGCCCAAAGGTTAGAGGAGTGGATTTTGTGGTTTTGAAGGTCGTCTCATAGTGTTTCTACTTTGTCTGAGAAAATCTCTGCTCAGATACCGCCTGGGTCCTTCTGAAAAAACCTGATTAACCCTCGGCTTGTGCAGAAAGGTTGTTAAGCAGGAGAGGAAGAGAACTACGAGTGTACTGAGGTGTGGAAGTCTCTAACTGGATCACACTGAAGGAGTGTGAAGTCAAAAAACAGAGAAGTGAACTCATTTAAGTAGTAGTTTAAAGAGGACATATACTGCTTACTTTTTGGTTCATATTTGTATTTTGCGACATGTTGACATGCTCAATGTTGAAAAAGCTCTTAATTGTTCTCGCACTGTAAAAACAAAAAGTATATTCGTCTGATTTCTAGTCAGAATACATCTTTACACTCAATATAAGACCTGATAACTGAAGAGGTTACAATGCAGGGAGATAGAGGCTCTGGTTTTTAGACAATGCATCTTCAAGACTCTTGAAAACATCTCATTTTGTATCTCAAATAAAAAAGTTTTTGGTAACATTTTATATTAAGGTACACAAATTCACCATCAACTAGTTGTTAATTAACATGTATATTAGCAGTATAATGGTTCTTTATTAGTCATTATAAAACACTTATTAATGCCTTATTCTGCATGACCGTATTCTACAAGTAATAAGCCATTAGTTGAGTGTTTCCTCAACAACCCTCTTATTAGTGCTGATTTATTGCAAGTAAGGAAGTTGTTGTACATGAGTTTTGGTCTTAATATGCTCTGCTCAATATGGGCCTAATAAGGCAGTAGTACCACACGAATAGTAATTCTCCCATACTGTAATAACACTTCAGTCAGACAACTTATTAGACTAGAAGCAGGATATAGTTGAGTTTGGCGTCTATCGGGCCTCATCACTCCACAGATATACATAGCACGATGAGTGATGATTAAATAACTAACCCCCCCGAGCCTACAGGTGGAGCTGGGGTGGAAGCTGGGGTGGAAGCTGGGGTGGAGCTGGGGTGGAAGCTGGGGTGGAAGCTGGGGTGGAAGCTGGGGTGGAAGCTGGGGTGGAAGCTGGGGTGGAAGCTGGGGCGGAAGCTGGGGTGGAAGCTGGGGCGAAAGCTGGGGCGGGCAAATAGCAAGTGAACACAGCAGTGCAGCAGCAGCGAGGCAGAGGCAGGAAGACCTGGCAGCTTAACTCAGATCTTGTTCTTGAGTAAAACTAGAAGTACTCAGTTCGTGTACTTGAGTAAAAGTAGAAATACTCAGATCTTGTACTTGAG